GCGTGCATGTATTATCAGTAAAATGGGATCAAAAGTTGAATGATTATTGTTTTACTTGGATAAAACAAATGATAAGAACTTAATTTTTTTTAGTAATCCAATAAGGCAATTAGTAAAATAATTCAATGGGACTAATAGTATAAATCTCTCGTAACTTTCAGTAATCTTTGAACCAAACTTTCTTTACATGATTTTCTTTTTTGTTAACTTGTAACTTTTCTTCCTGCTTCTGTATATGATGTCTTCTTAGTGTTGCCATCTGTTTCTGAGTAAAAAAGCTTATAGTTTTGAAAAAGGCTTTGACTTGCGTTATCAACAGGGGTTCTATTTAGAACCACGTATTCCTTTATAATTTAATTCTGAAGGTATCTAATTTGAAGTTTAATTGAATTGCAGGCTTGTTTTTTACGACAATTTTGGAATTCTTTGGTTCGCAATAATTATCTTACACTTCGCAAAGGCTTCATCATGGTATCCAATTCTGTTTGTCTGAATTCTAAATGTTTCTTATTCGAAAGCAACATAATATGGTTGTTACCTCATTTTGTACATTCAGGTGACTATGTTTTTGTCAAGGTTATGTTGCTAATTTGTTATGTAAGCACTTTCCTCAGCAATCACCATTTGTTGATAAACTATGGCCTACGGTCACAACTACAAAAATGCTTATAGTAGAAACTGAATAGTTAGATGCTTGATGAGTTTCCCAATTTTCTTTCTGATTTTGTGTTTCTACTTTATTTTGGTTGAAGTAACAATCTAGTGATCTACCATGGTACTTGTATGTCAGGTTTATTGGTAGTATGCAGTGATCATGTACCACTACTTTGTGAATGTTTACATAGTCTGTTTTTCTTATTGATGACAGAATCACAATCTCTCATTAAAATATGATTTTCACAACTACATGATTCAATGTGTGGAAGAGGAATTCCGAAAGATAGTTGGTGTGAGGTTAGTAATAGTTGAGATTTAGTTGTTACAAATTACAATATTCATGACAAGATCCTTTGACAGTTATTTTCTGGTTATCTAGAATAATAACATTTCTCCTTTGCTTTGATGTATTTTGAACAATCTTAATTTCTGGGCTGTGGTGATCAATATTTCTCCAAATAGTTGAACAAAATGTCATCGCATTCATCTACATGAAATATTTTAAGAGGCGGTTTGAATAATCATTATAAGGAGGAAAGAACATATGTTGTCTTGACACATGTAACATACTATCCTTTCTGTTATTGCTTATATATATATATTTATATATATATATATATATATATATAATGAAATAAAAAATGATTCTCATGCACAAATTGAAAGATAAAAATTTCTGTTTGGAAAATCTCTTGTAGTGTCCCACTCTGGGGATTTGTTGTTGCTCTCATGCTATTCAACATTAAAGGTATGTTCTCCCTTTAGCTTTCATTTGTAGACCGTTTTCTCTATTAGATTACCTAAATCTTTTGCATATTATCCAAGCTTACAATTAGTGTTTTGGTATGTAATAGGATCAAATCTCTATTTCTGGATAGCTATCATTCCAATTTCTGTAAGTTAGCTTGGCCATTTCCTATCTTTCTTTTAATTATCCTTCTTTCTTATTTGTATAGTTCAATTTTATAATCCTTTTTCTCTGATTTTTAACAGTCATGTGATATACGTAGTTTATGTATATTGCAGTAAATGATTGTCTTAAGTAAGGGGAATTACAGTAAATGGTTATCTAAAATATTGCCTTGTATTGTATTTCTTGGATGGGTATACTTTTTTCAACTGTCATTTTATTTCTATTATTTGTTCTTGTGCAGCTAGTTCTTTTAGTTGGAACAAAGCTACATCATGTTGTAACCTTGGCATTAGAGAATGCTGAAATAACTGATTTCTTCTCTGGAGCAAAGTTGACACCTCGTGATGAACTTTTCTGGTTTAAGAAGCCCGAACTACTACTTTCCTTGATTCATTTCATTCTCTTTCAGGTTGACAACAATTTGTTACATCGTGTGCTATTATCGTCGTAATAATATTTATTTTCTTGCTAACTTCTTATGCAAGCTCATTGATTTTCTCTGCAGAATGCATTTGAGTTGGCTACATTCTGTTGGTCCTGGGTACTTCTCCATCTTAAGACAGAATCATACTTTTAGTAATAAAGATAACATTTTCAAGTTCGGCCTGAACCGTAAATTGTATGAAAGAATTGTGTTTTTCAAAAGAACTGATCCAAAATGTATAGCAAGAAATCATATTCGAGATTAATCAAATAAGATGCAACTATATATTTGTGATAAGTTATTATTATCTCTATACTGCACCTCTTGAACTTTTTGGTCAATCATGATTACTTTTACTAGTTTGCCTTACGTAAGATAAATCACTCCATACAACAATAAAATGAACCCCAAGAATGATAATAAAAAAAATTAAAAAAAAAATCTCTTCCTTATGCTTTTGACCAAAATGACTTTTTGCATCTGCAGTGGGAGTTTGGAAACAGCTCTTGCTTTAACAGGAATCATCTCCTCGTGTATTCGAGGCTAATCTTGGGGTATGCAGAAAGCAATGCAGCCTTAAGTAGTTAGGATGTTAAATCAATTCCTTTTAACACTTGTTTTCAACATGATAGGTTCATTGGACAGTTTATCTGCAGCTACAGTACTTTGCCCCTCTATGCACTTGTTACACATGTAAGATCATGTTCAAATGATTGACTTTCCCCCCGACACCTATTTTGTTAGGCATTATGTGTTTACTTGAAGTGTTAATTTTCTCTGAATGATCAAGCTTCTTTTAATATGGTCTAACTACATGACATTATTTCCATTTTAGATGTGATACTACTATCATATTTGTTGCTGCAGAAGAGTTAAATGACATCCTTCTTTGGGATAATCTGCATTGTGTTGCATGAGAATAGAGTTGTATTAAGTAAATCTTTATTATACTGAAGGAATTTTTCCTGTTTCATGTCTGATACAGTAACAGCCATGGTTGTCAAACTCGCGAGTCAACTCGTAGACTCGTACGAGTTTACGATTCCAGGGCAGCAAAACGAGTTGACTCGTTAACAGACTCGTTTTTGGGTAGACTCGGGTAGACTCGGTTAGAATCGCGAGTCTGAGCCCGAGTCCACGAGTCTGGTTACGTTTTTTTTTAACCCCTAAATGGCCCAAAACGACGTCGTTTTTGCCTAGGGTTAGTTAGTGAGAATACCAATTCCCCTGCGTGCGAGCTTCCTCCACCATTCTCACGTTTTTGAGTCTCCCCCTCTGCACAATTGGAACGCGCAGCTTCGCCTCAACGAACGCACGTCTCCGCCGCTGCGAACGCACGTCTCCGCAGCTGCGAACGCACGTCTCCGCCGCTACGAACGGTGCCGCAATCGAACGCCGCCGTATACGAACGTGCGTCTGGGAAGGACGCGATTCTGTTTTCTCTCCCTCCGCCGCATCTTCTGCCGCATACGAACGCCTCATTGCAGCTTCTAGCGCCATCGTGAGTGTTACTTCTCAGTTCTCACTCTAACATTTTTGGTTTTTGGTTGTTTATGTATGGTTAAGATTTGTATTATGACATTTTATTGTTGTTATTTGACTTATTTCAGACTTAGAATGTTGAAATAGTGATATCATATTGTGTGTGTTCATGTTTTTTAATATATTTTAATATTAGGTAGACTCTTACGAGTCTACGAGTCGAGTCTACGAGAGCTCCACGAGTTTGTGTAGACTCTCGAGTTTGACAACCTTGGTAACAGCTTTCCTATTTTCGTTTTAGATGGGAACAAACTATAAGGCAACATTAATTCCAGGGAGTGTAAGGGCGACAATTGATGTCTGGGGAAGGTAGCAAGGAGAAACAGAAAGCAAGGCAAGGTCACTGATGACTTTGAATTAGAGCCACTAAGGGAAGAAACTTCAGCAAATAATGCTTCAAGTAGGCCAGTTGAACCCGTCCTTCGACCCTCTGCTCAGTTAACTCAGAACTCCGTTTTAGAACAGAAACAATTCCAAGATCTACTTCTATGCCAAGAGAAATATAATGTGTAAAAGAAAATGATGTTGAAGAAGAAAACAGAAAAAGATGAATGGCTCCTTGATGAGTTTGAATGTTGTATGATTTTTGAAAGTTATGAGGTGAATACTTTTGGCTCCCTTGGCAAACTAAAAAGCCAATTTAGATTATGGTTTCTGGATCATATAACAAAGCTTTTGCCTTACTGATTAACCAATAATAGTGTGGGAGACTTTAATGTCCTATTAAATTCAAATATGGACCAAGTGTATAATACACCATACACTTGTATAGACACGAAAGAAAATGAAAGCAGTGTTGGGGTTGAAGTTTGGAACCATGTCTGCAGAACTCCAACATCTACAAGGTGCAGTACCTAACTATTAAGTCCACTCAAACTGCTAGCAGTGTAATATGTTTGGTGCTTTATACATCCACTTTCCAGAATTGTGGCTCTAACATCATGCCAATACTGTAATAACAATTTCCATTCTTTTGGTTTATTTGTTCAGTCTTCTTACACGAATATAGTTCATTATACTAACTTTTCATAACTATCATAATTATTGAGGTAATCTGGCATCATTTGCATCCAAATAATCATTTTAATCACCTTACACTTGAAAAAAAAAATAATAAATAAATAAAAACAGTGTTTCTTTCCTTATTGTTTCGTGATTAACATTTGTTTTTTGTTTTTAATGTTTCTACACTTGATGAATATCTAGCTTCTAGCAAAGAAAATTTAGAAAAATAATAGCTTATTTTTCAAAACTTCTCTCAAAAAGCTATAAAAATAAGTGATTATTTTTTCAACATGAGTTAAACCAAGCACGTAATAACTCAACCTATTATATCTGTAACCTACATGACACAAGTGCCAAACTGCAATCGGTGCAAGACCCCATGTGCAATGGTGGCACATGAGTTTCAAGTTTCAACATGCTAGCAACAGCAAGGGAAACTATTTCCAGTAGGCAAGAATAAAACCATGAAACAAACGTAGAGCTTAAAAGTGACTTACCAAGTTTATTTGCTAAAATGTTAAAAACGTAGTCATAAAGCTGCCTTTCCATAACACATTCGAAAATTGAAATGAAAATCTACTTGAATATTTCCCACCGGAAAATGCTCAATCCTTAAAGAAATTATACCATAAGCAAATGGGCAGAGGATGAATGCAGAAACCTTTTACATCATAAGGAGAAACACCTTTCAGAAATCTGAAATTCTGCATCTGCAATATGATACTAATATTTTTCAAATAATCATAGTGTAACACAGTTCAGCCATTTCACCATTGTTTTCCCCTAACTCCATTGCCCTCAATTCTTCAGCCAGCATCCTCTCCCTGTTCTGTTTTTGCCTTTCTACAGCAACCATATACAGGCCTAGACAAATGTAGTAATCAAAAGAAAAATAAGATTGTAACTGAATAAAGTTTTTTTTTAGAGAAAAGGATGGGACATATTACAAGACTAAGTTTGATAATAGGATCTGGGGAAAAGATACTATTGAGAAAAGGACAAGAATACTTACTGACGGCACTTCCAAAAGCACAAGCCCAAAGAATTCTCATGGACCACCTGTCCCCAATTACTCCTCTGGTTCCCATGTCATGTAGTATAGGCCAGAAACTTTGCCCTGAAATGAAGGATCAGATGCGAAAGTTAACACAACAGGCTAAGCAAAAGAGAAACTAGCGTAATTTGTTGAACTGTCAATTAAGTATCCCATCCCATTTGACACAAGCAGACAATTTAGAGGTTAAGAGAATTTTAATTAAATTTTATTTATATCTTTTACAATTTAGAGTCAAATAACATAATAGAATTTTCTTTGTTACACAATAGCTACCAGTTCCATCTCAAAGCATTCAGACTTTAATTAGGCAGGTTGCTGATTTGCTGAGACTCCTGCAAATCCATCACTGGACATTGCACCTTTCTTGGCCCATCTCTAATTTCTCAGCAATCCGAGAAACAAAACGCAATCTCAGTCTGGGAAGCATGGATACTAACATAGTCATTGTACCCATGTCAGAGTCAGACATGTACTCATGTTAGAAACTTCATGAAAACTTGGGATACTCTTAAGTTATATTTTGCGTTTCTTTTCACTTCTACTTTGGCCTTATTTAGATAAACTTCTACATTAGCATTTATAGGAGAAAAACAATAAGCTAAAATGAAAAAACCTTCTCCCATAACCTAAAACTAATTTATGAAAAAATTAATTTGTAAAAGTTGTCTCATTTAGCTTCTCCAAAAGTTGATCTTAACTTATGCATAAACTAATTCTAACTTATGAAAAAATCTTAATTTCACTTTTACTTCTTATTTTTTCTTCTATAAGTGCTTCTAAAGAAATTTATCATGTGAATACAAGTTTAAATACAATAACTAGATAAATGGTAAAAATTAACAAACTAGTTCTAGATTTTACAACATTGACTCTCTTCTTTAATTTGAGCCTCGCTTTTACGCTAAATTTGTGTGTGGTGCCATTATTTTGTCGTGCCTTTTATGATTATAAATTTTTTTGCATCCCTATGTTCATGTCATATCGTATCCATATCTCATACAGTATCCCTACTTCCATACAAAACGCCGCTTCAGCCAAACTAAATTCATTAACAGTGAAGGACTAGTTCACAATCCCAGTTCCCACCTAATTATACATGCTTTAAATTAACGTACTATTAGTTACAAGCTGCACTGCAAGTGATAGCTGCTCTTGTTGCTATAAAGTTGGAACCCTAAAACAAACCCGTCTATCACAGTGCACATAAATGCTGAAGCACAACGAACAATCTCAGAAGTTCATTTTCTCCAAAACCCATTTTATTAACAAAGTTGTTATTTAGAATACAAAAGTGACAAAGTCGTATGATTAGCCAATATAATCTTCAGAACAATGCAGAAAAAACAAGCTTATGCCTTCACTTGCAAATAAAATTCACACACAAAAAGAAAATGTAATCAAAATTGGAAGGATGAGAAATCTACCACTACAGCCAGTGCAAAACAATGTCCAAATTTTCAGCCCAGTAAAGAGAAACTACGAGAAAAAATGTCACGCAATTTGGATAATTAAAAATAAAAATAAAAATAAAAATAAAAATAAAAAGTGCCCTTTAGAGTGAAACTCGAAGAAAATGGAAATAACAAAATTGAAATACCTTAGATCAATTAACATAACCAAACCTAAAATTTTGAATCATTGAAACCATAACCACGCCAATCTATGAAGAGGGAAAGGGTTACCTTGGAACCTTTCCCTAAATTGCCTTCAATTGCAAAACTTTGCTTCCTGTTACAACAGATGCAGAAACAGCGTTGATCACTGTTCTCACTCTGTATGTTTTCTTTTCCATGCGAAACGCATCGTTTTAAGTTAATTTACAAGATTGTTCACTGGGCTAAAATTAATATGAGGAGGCCCAGTTGTGATTTTCACTAGACAAGCCCTTTATTAGAAGTAACATTCAGGCCCATAAACATCATACACCAAAATCTTTATGATAACTAGTTTGTTAGCTTCATGGTAAATTCACAACGAAAACTTTGTAATTAATTTATTTATTCGTGTTTAGCATTTATTCTTTTATCAAATAATTTAATAATGTTATTGACCAATAGAACTCAAATATATTTATAAAGTTAATTTTTTTATGTCTGGCGGAAAAGCACTTATTTAAATAAAAAATAAAAAATGAGATAATCAAAAGAAAGGTGTCTAGCTATTATAGGCAAAATAGACCAATCAAAATGTGTACCAAAAGAAAAGAATCACCTTTATTAATAGTATAAATTAATAATCAAATAATTTAATAATCTCGTCCTCATGTTATTATGGTGCACCTTCCACATCAAATCTTTAGATTAATCTCAAGTTCATCTCAAAAACTTAACTAATTCATTAAATGGTGCACTTTTGAGAGAATATTATAATCATATAGGAAAAGGGATAATGACTGTTTTGTTTTTGCCCATGACATGCATCGATGACCCGTATGCCAAATGGCAACCCCACCAATCCCACCTTAGTATACAAAACATATATACATGTGATGTAAGAACAGAACTAGGGTGGCAAAAATATGCACCTTAATAAAAATATCTAAATGTTATTATATTTAGCAAAACTACTACACATGGACATGTTTAATTAGGGTCCTTGTGTGAGTCTCTGCATTTCATTTTGGTCATTGAGAGTCTCAACGAGAAGGGGTGGAGCATATTGGGCTGTCCCTTGGTGCTCTTCAGAATCTTGGCAGAATGATAGAACTATGGTATCAATTGACATCTCCACAACTGCAAAGAAAAGGGTTGCAACAACGTATCCAAGAGCCCAGCAAACCTGCATTACACAAAATAACATTATGAGAATTGTTCAAAATTCAAACTGCATGGTGAATTAGTAGACTTTCATTTTGGCAATTATTTTCCAATTTCCACCCCTTGGTCCTTTCATGTAGCATTTTATACATTACGGTATTTTTGAATGCAGGAGTTAATCTCACTTAGTAGTTCAACTGTATAGTCATGGATTCATGCTTCATGCGGATAGATATACAAGTTCTGTAAATAGCTATAGGCCGCAACACATGGACCAATTTGGGACCAAAATGGTTCTGAAATATGAATTAGTTTGAAAATACTATATAATAACAAACCATTTTATTGGAACCGAAAATTCTATGAAGTTCAATAATAGAACATTTAAATAATTTGAAAAACTCTCCTCTATTAAGAGTAAATAAGAATTTAAAGCTTAAATACTGAATTGCCATTTTTTTTGCTTAATTGCACTTTTTGCCACCTATCTTTCACATTTTTACAAATTCTGTCACCTAACTTTTAAAATTGCATATTTTGTCACCCAACTCTCAATTTCACACATTTTGTCACTCCATTAATTGACCGTGTAACGTCGGTAATTGACCAACATTGATGACTACCGATTATTGACATAAGATGTTAATTGTTAATTTGTCACATTATGTCCCATCATCATATGTATGTCACATCAATAATTTATGTCAATGATTTCATGTCACATCAACAGTTAATGTGTCATATCAACAATTAACATGTCACATTGATAGTCAACTTAAAATGTGAGTGAGACCTGATGGAGTGATAAAATGTACAATTTTGAAATTTAGATGACAAAATTTGCAAATATATGAAAGATGAGTAACAAAAAGTACAATTAAGTCCTTTTTTTCTTCTTCTGTTGAATGGTAAATGATCCTTGCCATCAAGTCACATAATTAGATAATAGAGAACATACCACAACAGGTAAGAGTGGAGATGAGGTCTTGTTATGAGCAGAACTGTACTTGTGTGTGTCCAACATGAGGAACGCAAACAAAGCACTTGAGAGGCTGACACACAGTTTTCCCAGGAACAAAATGACATCTCCAATCACGTTAAGACGCCCAATCTTCAGAATGTTATTCATGATCAGCTCTGTTGCGATACAAGAAGCGCTAAAGAAACTTTTGCCTGTTATAGCAATCTGCAGGTGTCAAGAAGAAGCTCAAGTTAAAATCATAAAGTAGAAAGAAAGAAAAGTAACAAAGACTACAGAAACTTTTGCTCACTATAGCAATCCACGGGCATCAAGAAGATACTCATGAAATTAAAATCAGAGAAAATCTATAATAAGATACATTGTCCTATGGAAGAGGGAAGGGTGACAATTAGAAATATTTTAGAGTAAATTACACTGACACTCACTGAAATTTCATGAAATTGCATAAACACCCTCTACTTTTCTACTCCTACAATAACCACCCTTAAATGTATGAAAAACATTACACTAAACACCTCTTAGACATTTTATTAGTCCCCTTAATTATTTGAAAAGCATTACATTATGACCCTTGTAAAGGAGGTTACTATAAACGTTAAAAAAGCAGAGGTGTCAACACCATTTCATGAAACCTTAGAGAGTGTCAGCATAATTTACTCAATATTTTAATAATGCATGTGGCAAATAAAAACAAGCTAGGGTAAATTATTTTTGACTAAGCATATTTATCATCATTCTTTATTCTTTTGCGTAGAACTAAACCAACATTTTCTCTACGCAACCTACTATGATACAGCTCCGAGACATGTTTTCCCTATGGTGAAGTATAGCTTAAACACATTCAAAGCAGGGAAATGAAACTCAGTGTCTAAGAAACACGCCAATCACAATGCAACAAGTACGAGAGAATTGACTTTCACTTCCATTGATCCTCAATTCATTAAAATAAGTATTGCACCACAATAACAAAATACATGTCTATTACATGATGCATATGCACAAAAATTTACATTATGGTGGATGCAGTGGATTAACAAAATTTACCATGATGTAAGCATTTTGGTTTACTGATTTGATGGTCCATTCAATACACCTGAATTCTGAATTCAGAAGGCCCGTTCTAACAGCAGAATGGCCCGTTTTGATTTCAGAACGGCCCGTTTTAGTTTCAGAACGGTCCGTTTTGGTTTCAGAATGGCTCATTCTACTGCACTCATGTTGTGTTAAATTTGCATTTAGAACGGCCCGTTCCAGTTGCAAAATTAACACATAACATGTGCATGCAGAACGGGTCGTTCTGATTACAGGGACATTTGGCACCCACCTATGCATCTACGTGGCATCCACGTCAGCAAGAGTTAACCTCGTTTAAATCATTTGGATGGAAGTCTCAAATTGCAATAATTTAAATTATTGAGGACCAAATTGAGACCTAAAATTAAAGTAGGACTAAATTAAAACAAAAAAATATTATCAGGGATCAAAAGAGGTTTTTAACTTTGAAGAAACTTACTTGACCAATAAACTACTCTATTTCCTCCTCTTGTCTTCATAGTGGAGAGTGTGTCGTTTCGCCTTTCCGCGATATCTGAAAACGGCTTGTCGTTTCTTTTCTTCCCTAGTCTTCGATTGAGTTTCGGATATCAATCGAAGGTTCAGAGTTATGCGTTTAACTAGCGCTTTTCTTCTCACCTTACCTCCACTTCTAAGTGTGCGTGTGCGTGTGCGTCATTACTCATCAACCAAGTTGTTTGTAGCAGGTTTTCTCAAACTTCTTTCATTTCTCTTTTATTTTTAATTAATAATAAAAATTGCCCCTTTTCAGTTTTCAATTGATCTCGATCAAAATTTCAATTTTAACTGTTAGTGTTTTTTTTTTCTTTTTTTTTGGAACGAAGGGCTTTCCTACGATACCAATGAACCGGTTCTCAGAGACGCCTTTGGGCAACACGGTGAAATCATTGAAGGTAAAATCAAAGATCTTTTACTGTATTTTGTGTTCTCAAATTGGTTGCCACTATGTTGCAACCATTTTTTTTTTGCAGTTAAAGTAATATGTGATCACGTGACTGGGAAATCAAGAGGGTATGGATTTGTGCAGTTCGTTTCTGAAACTACAGCTGCTACAACTCGCAAAGAAATGCACGCCCAGGTTTTCAAGTTTTCTTTTTTTTTTCCTATTTGTTTAATTTGAGTTCACCTTAAATTTCATTTTCTTAATAATATGTGGATATGGTTGGCTTAATTTTTTGCTTTTATTTCACCTAACATTGTTATATGGACCTTGTTCCTTATCATTTTTCAGATATTAGATGGAAGACGCATTAGGGTGAGTTATGCGCACAAAGGGTAGCCACCAATACTGTCAAACAACAAGTAAGACGGTTTTTTGGTTGCAAGTTGCAACATATTCAAATTTTACCTTTGATACTCGATTAGTCTATGTTGTTAGCTTATAGTCCTTCAACCCAAGTTTTATATTCTCTTCTCTTGTAACTACTTAAAAATTTATCCAAGACCATAGTCTCATTTTGTGCATGGTTTGAATTCATGTTCCTCAAACTTGAAAGACTAGTGTACGGTCATCGACGGTATCTTTAATTTGGTCTCAGCTGTTTTCCTGTATGTTATTTGAGTTATTTTTTGCCGTAAATTGTTACTAGCAGCAGAATGATAAGTGACTTACTCCGGTAGTAACAGTTTGAAACTTGTGTTTATGTACTTATAATGGGTTCAGCTGATTAACGAATAATCATACAAACAATTAACTTAAAAGCTCGTTTTTAGTGTTCTAGTAGTGAGTAATAGTGACCACTGCATGAATCTGGATATTGGAAAATAGAATATTTATTAATATGCTTTCACCCTTTTGTGACTCTTAAGTGTGAAAAAGGTAGACTGTGTGTATGCTAGTTTAGACTTAATTCTTTAATTAGTTTACGAAATTGTATAAATCAGTCATTTTAGTTTCTTAAAAATTATAAGCTCGGTTAATCTCTAACTTTACATGTGTCATTCACTTGAATCTTTTTATACTTTTCTCTATGGTTCATCCAGGAGAAATAAAGCGAATTTTGCTTTAAAAATTTAAGAACCAATAAAGGCTTTTAAAATGCCTTATTCATACAATCTCAAGAACTAATGAAAGGATTTTTTGTACCATCGAACTATGAAAAAGAAGAGTTAAGGATATCATGTCAAAGAGTGAGGCAACAGATGTAGTATGAAACCTTGCATCTCAAATGTACCAATAGCACAAGATCTTTTGATGGAAAAATAGATCAACGGAATACCAAACTTCAACGGGGACGTTATTCTAAGATGATCAAAATGTTCTTGTAAGTTTAAGAACATAATATCTAAAACAATTTTCCGAAAACATAAAATTACACAAATTTTCTTCTCATAAATGCTCTTTTAAGACTATCTGGTAGATATGTTTGTTGTACAACAGATAAATTAAACACAACATAGTCTGATTTTTTATTCAATTTAAAACAATAGTTCGATATTGCTTCAATGACCAATACTCTTCCAGACTACACAAAAGTTATTTCTGTTGACAACAAAGAATCTATTTTAGCAAATTTCGTGAGGTGGGAAACAAAGTAAATGACCTAGGCTAAACACCGAATTCGGTAGCAGTCGGTTAACAAGTCAATGAGTTATATTGAACCCATAAAGTCCAAACTATTTAAAATATATATATACATATATATAACAGAGAATAAGTATAATATTTTCACTATATATATATATATATATAAATTTTATTATAACATTTTTAGTGAAATAAAATTATAAAATATTTATAATTATTATGCTTTAATTAATAAAATAGAATCACCTAATATTTATAATTTTATTTTAAATCAAATTCTTAAATTTTAATATAATTAAAATACTAGTGTTTTATTTTATAAAATCTTATGAGCAGTAAATATATACATATATATATATATATATATATATGTGTGTGTGTGTGTGTGTGTGTGTATGAGTGCTATTTAACTAGATTATAAATATTATCTACGAAAAATAACTTATTATAAATTTGCATGATGTTATGGACATATAAAATAAATTGGTTCGGTGGTTTAACTAGTTGAGCTTAAGGACTACATGTACTGGGTCCTGGGTTCAAATCCTACCATGATTTTATATATTTTTATATAAATAATTAAAAGGAAAAAAATATAAATAATTAAAAGGAAAAAAAAAATGTGCAGCGGATTTGTGTATATATGCAGTTACGTGGCTGCATGTTTATTTATTTATGTTATTTTCTTTATGCATTTATCTAGTAAGGTGTCCATAATCTCATTTATTTGTTTAACCTATGATTATCTTTATCCATAATAATTATTAAGGTCTTCATATTTTATATTATTTAATTGTTTTATAATGATTGCCATTTTTATTTATATATTGGTACTCTTAATATATTTTTTTTACGTAAATATATTTATTGTAAATATATTTGATAATCAGTTATAATATAGTTGATATTTTGAACTTATTTCTTCATGTATTTATCTTCATAAATATTGTTCTATGGCCATAGAAGATAAAGTTTGAATTATTTATAGCTGGAGGTTTGACCTTAGGGATTTAAATGAGTAAGCATTCATGGTAAAATATTCTGTTAATATTTGGTTAACATTACACTAATGCTCATTTATCCTGACTAGTCACTATTAAAATGATTCAAATTTTATTATTTAATTTTTATGTTCCTATAGATAATCTTGTTTTTTATTTAATTAATTATATTTATTTAATAAGTGTTCTCACTCCTTATTTCTTGTTGTAAAAAAAATTTAACATATAAAAAAAATAGATGGATCTACCAATCCTACCGGACCCTTTCACTTCCGTCATCATTGCAATTTTTCCGGGCACCAGTTGGGCCATGAACGCATCTGCCAATGCAGTTACATTTCAAGGAATAGGATTATCATCTTTTGTGTTTTCACCAACCCAGTAAAATTCCATTGTCATAGATGGTCAAATAGTAGTCACTTTTTATCTCCCTCCAACCAATCATGTTAACCCAATAGTGAACTTATATCAACCAGATATGTAAATATAATATAATTAGTGTAGGAAATAGGTAGATTATAAGAATGTACATTATTGTAAATATTTTTTTATATGATGCAAATATAAAGAGCTATATGTAAGGCATGTACTCTCAATAATAATAGCATAAGATGTATATGAATATTGAAAATAATATTGTAAAATATGAGTAGTTTAGAATTATGTATATATTTTTGAAAATATTGTTTGAAGATTTTCTTTTATTACTTATTTGTGTTCTTCAATATAACTCATTGACTTGTTAACCGACTGCTACCGAATTCAGTGTTTAGCCTAGGTCATTTACTTTGTTTCCCACCTCACGAAATTTGCTAAAATAGATTCTTTATTGTCAACAGAAATAACTTTTGTGTAGTCTAGAAGAGTATTGGTCATTGAAGCAATATCGAACTATTGTTTTAAATTGAATTTGTGTTTAATTTATCTATTGTACAACAAACATATCTACCAAATAGTCTTAAAAGAACATTTATGAGAAGAAAATTTGTGTAATTTTATGTTTTCGGAGAATCGTTTTAGATATTATGTTCTTAAACATGCAAGAACATTTTGATCATCTTAGAATAACGTCCCTGTTGAAGCTTGGTATTCCGTTGATCTGTTTTCCATCAAAAGATCTTGTGCTATTGGTACATTTGAGATGCAAGGTTTCATACTACATCTGCTGCCTCACTCTTTGACATGATATCCTTAACTCTTCTTTTTCATAGTTCGACAGTACAGAAAATTCCTTCATTAGTTCTTGAGATTGTATGAATAAGGCATTTTAAAAGCCTTTATTGGTTCTTAATTTTTTAAAGCAAAATTCGCTTTATTTCTCCTGGATGAACCACAGAGAAAAGTATAAAAAGATTCAAGTGAATGACACATGTAAAGTCAGAGATTAACCGAGCTTATAATTTTTAAGAGACTAAAATGACTGATTTATACAATTTCGTAAACTAATTAAAGAATTAAGTCTAAACTAGCACTCTACCTTTTTCACACTTAAGAGCCACAAAATGGTGAATGCAAAGAGATTATTTGAACTAATTAGTTATGTGTTTCAGTCACTTAAATCAGTGAAAGCATATTAATAAATATTCTATTTTCCAATATCCAGATTCATGCAATGGTCACTATTACTCACTACTAGAACACTAAAAACGAGCTTTTAAGTTAACTGTTTGTATGATTATTCGTTAATCAGCTGAACCCATTATAAGTACATAAACACAAGTTTCAAACTGTTACTACCGGAGTAAGTCACTTATCATTCTGCTGCTAGTAACAATTTACGGCAAAAAATAACTCAAGAAACATACAGGAAAATAGCTGAGACCAAATTAAAGATACCGTCGATGACCGTACATTAGTCTTTCAAGTTTGAGGAGCATGAATTCAAACCATGCACAGAATGAGACTATGGTCTTGGATAAATTTTTAAGTAGTTACAAGAGAAGAGAATATAAAACTTGGGTTGAAGGACTATAAGCTAACAAAATAGACTATTCGAGTATCAAAGGTAAAATTTGAATATGTTGCAACTTGCAACCAAAAAACTGTCTTACTTGTTGTTTGGCAGTATTGGTGGCTACCCTTTGTGCGCATAACTCACCCGAATGCGTCTTCCATCTAATATCTGAAAAATGATAAGGAACAATGTCCATATAATAATGTTAGGTGAAATAAAAGCAAAAAATTAAGCCAACCAAGCCCACATATTATTAAGAAAATGAAATTTAAAGTGAACTCAAATTAAACAAATAGGGAAAAAAAAAGAAAAAAGAAAAATTGAAAACCTGGGCGTGCATTTCTTTGCGAGCTGTAGCAGCTATAGTTTCAGAAACGAACCGTACAAATCCATATCCTCTTGATTTTCCAGTAACATGATCACATATTATTTTAACTGCAAAAAAAAATGGTTGCAACATAGTGACAACCAATTTGATAAAACAAATTATAGTAAAAGATCTTTGATTTTACCTTCAATAATTTCACCGTGTTGTCCAAAGGCGTCTCTGAGAACCGGTTCATTAGTATCGTAGGAAAGCCCTTCGTTCCAAAAATAAAAAGAAAAAAAAAACACTAACAGTTAAAATTGAAATTCCAATCGAAATCAATTGAAAACTGAAAAGGGGCAATTTTTATTATTAATTAAAAATAAAAGAGAAATGAAAGAAGTTTGAGAAAACCTGCGACAAACAACTTGGTTGATGAGTAATGACGCACACGCACACTTAGAAATGGAGGTAAGGTGAGAAGAAAAGCGCTAGTTAAACGCATAACTCTGAACTTTCAATTGATATCCGAAACTCAATCGAAGACTAGGAAAGAAAATAAATGTCAAGCAGTTTTCAGATACCACGGAAAGTCGAAACGACACACTCTGCCACCGTCGATTTCTTCTCCTCCGCCGGCTTCTTCTCCGCTGGCTTCTTCTCTGCCTTTGGTGCCATCGCTAACACTCAAATTCGAATTAGGGTTTTGATTTGGGAATTTGGAATTAGCGTAGAGCGGTTGAATACTAGAGTGGAGAATGGGGGATTAATATGGGAAAAGGTTTTCGCGTTCTCATTGGCTACTGGGGCTTGGCGCGGATCGATGACGTGGATTTCCTTTTTTCTGTCGAATTATTACATCCGTTGAAAATTTTTGAAAATAGACGGACAGGATTTAAAATTGACTTGACTGGGATGCGGGAATTGTTGAGGTGGCAAATTGAGGAGCGTATAGATGGATGGAAGAGATGCTTTTCAGATTTCGTTGCGCGCCCAAATGGACACTTAATCAAGCATTTTGTGAGCGATTTACCTCTGAACCAAGAGAATTTTATGTTTGGATTAAACTATGTTGCATTTTTACGTGTATAAAACGGTTTATATATTTTTAATTACAATTTGGGCAGCGAAATCTCTGGGAAACCCCACGTAAATGTGATTTACCGGTGGACAGATACATCTTTTTTTTATTTGATACGGTTGACCAATGGATTTTTTTTTAGATTCTTAGATGTTAGAGTATCTGCAATGGAAATTGCTTAAACAACTCTGCTAAAATTTAAACAACTTATAAAATGGGTTAGAGCTGACATGGCACTGATGTGGCGTATGAGATTGCTTATAAGCAATCTCCATTGCAGATGCTCTTAGTAAAGTTAAGTGAACGGACATGATTGATTACCGGTTATCCACCGTAAAATTTGTAATTTAATGTTATAATTTTAAGTTTTGTAGTAATTTTTAAAAATTTCATTCTTAGGTAACTTGGAAGTAAGTTTTGTGAGTCTCTCCCTTTGAAACCTTAATCTATATTGAACGACGACCGGCTTTCTTTTTGTTTCATTTTGTTGGGCCTTGGATAGCGATTGTAATCATTTTTTGACCTTCATGGTTTCACAACCGACTGAAAAAAGTTTACCTCCTTCTGATTTGAACTTCTTTGGTTGAACTGATTTCTTTTTAAAAATCTAAACTCTTATTCTTCTGTGTTTGTTTATTGTTGCCTTTGTGAGAGGTTGACGATTGTCATGACTGTTGCTGTCGACGATTTGGTTTCCGCCTGTTATGCACCTCCAAATGATAGCAACTTATATCGGTCACAATCCATCAATTACACCAACAATTTTTCGAACACCCACTGCACCAAATTAGGACCCGTGGTGTCAAACTTCCAACAATGCCATATAATTAGGAATCGGCATGAGTTAGATCCATATTTGTTCATACTCGATCCAATCTTTTGATCGTTCATTTTCTAAAATTCAATTTCAATCAAGCCCCAAAAATATGAGAGAAGGTTTGATCAACTCATCCTTGATAAACTAACATTATTCATAGTTAAATTATAAATTTAAAAATGTAAAACTTAAATTAATATACATTTTTATAATATATTTTTTTTATTATAAATAGAATATCATGTAACAAAATATTAATAACTAAATAAATTATTATTATTAATATACAGCAACTCAATAAAATTTATATCTTTTAAAAACATATTATCGATTAAATTAGGTTGGACAGTCTAGAACATAATACGAACTCGTCCTAAAAATGCATCAAGTCTAATTTCAAAGTTCAAGTTCATCCAAATAACTTCAAGTTGAGTCAAATTAGCGAGTTGAGTTAGATTATATTTATTCATACATATAATGATCATCATCTTTACTTATATTGGTAGTTATGGAGTTCGAAGTTGTGTTTGAAAAATAAGTTCAACCTTTATAAATAAAGTAGATAAATTTAAACAAAAGAATAAAACAAAAGATAAATCAATAATTTTATATAATATTATTATTTTGTAATTTAATTGTAATATATCGTTAAATTATTTGCATTCAACTACTAAACTTTTAGATTCAAGCTCTCAAACCATCATTATAAATAAATAAATAAAAAGTTATTCATCATTTTTCATGTAAATCATGTCAAATTTGATCATGACAACAAGCATCAAATTTTTGATATATTACGATTTGCGTAGTATTTGTTTTGTTAATAAATGTTTATAGATGTTTATAAATGTTTTAGTATGAAAAAAAGATATTTATTATTTCTTATGATAAATCAATTTTTTATATATAAAATATGAATAATTATTTAGTGTGAGAATATTTTTATTCGTGTTTTTAGGAGATTTTCTTGAATGAGATTGTTTTAAAAATTCTTACAGCTTCATATTTATTTGATTTTTATTTATCATAATTATATGAATTAAATTTTATTTTTAAAATAAATTAGCAACAAACAACAAATATATATAATATAAATTATTTATCATAAATTTAAAAATATAATTTATATATTTAAAAATATTTACTTATTTTCAAATTCTAAATATAATTATATATTAAACATGGTCTTTATTTATATATATAATTTATTTTGAATTTAATTACATGCAATAACATTTAACATATATATATTAAATATTAAAATACTAATTACAATGATGAATAAAATTACATATGTTAATTGGAGACATTGCTTTAATGTAAAGTAAATAGATCCGCGTTACTACACATAGATTGATCTTTAACAATTTTCTTAGTTTTTAAAAATATATTTGTCTGATTTTCAACGTTTTATAAAAATACATTTTGTCTGATTAAATGTTTTTCTTAATTCAAAACCATAATATATTAAACGATAAAAGTTAACTCATATGTGTGTACTATTAAATAATTAATGAGCACTGTTTGAACCGTAATACTAATACAAGAAAGGTTCGATGCAAATTCATACGTGAAGATGTTAAAATTAATTTAATATATTTAATTGGTTCGGAAGAAGGTTCGATACCATTTCAACCATAATCATTTTCGGAAGATGAATAATCAACTTAATTATTACGGGTCATGGATCTCGATGAAAATCTCATTAATCTTGAAATTTATGTCAAAACTTATAAATCAAGTGAATTAATATTGACATATTTTATTCGTTAGATACAAATCCTGGTGTAATAATGCATTATATAGGAGACAAAGTCTTTTTTAACCTTAGGAATTTTGGATCGAACTATGTTCATGCGAGCTCCTAAACTTGGTTATCAATAAATATTAAATAAAAAAAATTAATGAATTACAAAATTAATTTTGGTTAAGAATTTACCTCGAAGCTAACAAATTAGTTTTCACAAAGATTTTGCTGAATTGTATAGTGATAATCGTAAGTGGGACTCTTGATATTAATTTTAACCTAGAGGACAATCTTGTAAATTAACACAAAACAAAGCATTGGATATCCAAACGAAAAAAAAAAAAAAGAAGCTAAAAACCTATTTTGGTCTCTTATAATTTTATTTTTTTTTCAATTTAGTCTCTCATTAATTTTTGGTCTCAATTTGGTCCTAAACTAATTAATTAGTTTTAATTTAATCCTTAATAAATTAATTGGTTTCAATATGGGACTTTCCGTCCAAATTTCTTTAACGAGGTTAACTGTTGGCCTCGTGGATGCCACGTAGATGCATAGGTGGATGTCATATGGATGGCAAATTTTTTGAAAACCACTAGAACCAGAACGGCCCGTTCTGAAACCGGAACGGCCCGTTCTGGATACACTTTCGATGTGTTAATTTTGCATCCGGAACGGCCCGTTCTAGGTGTAACATTAACACACTAAAAGTGCAACCAGAACGGCACGTTCTGGTTTCAGAATGGGTCGTTTTGGTTCCATGTGTTTTAGCAAAATTGGCATCATGAGTCGTCTACGTGGCATCCACCTATGTATCTACGTGGCATTCACGTGGCCAACAGTTAACACCATCAAACACTGAATTTGGTAATATTGTCAATGAAAATTAATAACTTCATTTCCTAAACAGTTAGGTTATACAGTGTAGAACCTAAAGTAAAGGAAGATGATACACATGACTAACATTTCACCACACAACTATATGCAGTGACAGATCCAAGTTAATCATAGTGGGGGCACTTGCCCTCACTAAAATTTTTTTCATTCTTTTTTTTATTATATATAAAATATTAATAATTTTATAATATATATATATATATATAATTATATTTTAATTATGTTGTTATATCTAATATAATAAATATATTAATATTTT